GGTTAGGGAATTGTGTAAATGGGCGTCGGGACAGGTAGAGGTTGGACAGAGCTCTCACAGGTCCCGAGAGGCAGTGGGAAGCTCAGACAACAGGCAAGGGCTGTTCCACCCTGACCTCATCCACCTGCCCAGGGGCTCAGGAGGAACAGAGCTGATGACACAGCAGATCTTCTCCTTGAGGGGCTGATGACCAGACTTGACCCTGCTCCATGTGCTCCCAGAAGCAGCCCCCAGGCACTATGGCCAGCCTTCTCCATGCTGTGAAATCAGACCATCTAATGAAGGGGCATCTAAAAAAGCCCATCAGAGGGCTCAGCACAGTCCCCAGTTCAGACCCTCACTTTAGGAGCCCAAATATCATAAAAGATTTTGGAGCTGATCTTTATGGAAACTCACTGAACTCCAACAAAATCCACGTGTGCATTTCTGCCATGAAACACTTGTGCTGAAGTTCAGATACAATCAGCCTTGCAGATTAGAGATTTAGTTAATTTTAAACCCACTGGTGTTTAACGTAAGTATTCTGCAGACCTAGGGGTCAGCCTTGCCCATAAGTTGTGTTGTCTGGAACATCACTAATGCAAGATAAATTATAACTACAGAAATAGCAAGCTAAGAGCAGACCTGGTGCAATAAGGGATTATAGCAGACCCTCAACTTTGTGAATTGTGAATTGTCCCAGGGTGAGGGGACTCACCCCAGGGGTGGGGAGCCAAACATGCTCACAGGGATGTAAGCTGGTTTGGACCAGCACAGGGAGCCCTTTGCCTGCTGGATTCCCAGAGGACAAGAGCTGCTGCTGGACCTTCAGGAGAGAACTGGATCTGCAGGATCACTGCTCCAACAAACCCATCACTCCAGGAGGACTGCAGCCACCATTTAATGGGACTACTACTACACCCTGACTGACAGGGTGTCAGGTTACTTTCTGACTCTGTCAGGTTATTTTCTGACTCTGTCAGGTTACTTTTTTTTGTATGGTTGCATTTGTGTTGTTTTGTTGTGTTGTTCATATTAAATTGTACTTCTGACTCAGAGTCTCTCACCGGTTTCCTTTTCAAACCAGCACAGCAAGTTTACCCTGTATCTCCCTATTTCAGTATGCCAATCCCCATATCTGTCCTACCCAAAAGCTGTAACTGTACATGTTTTTGCTTTGTGTGTGCTCTGGGATAAGCAGCATTCATTATTCTTGCAGGGACCCCAAGAAGTTCTCTTCCATTGACCCAGATCATTGACCAAGCTTGTCAAGAGGCAGAAACTTACAAGGATGCTGGAGTTGTAAGTTTTGGTTTTCCTTCTTCCTGTAGCAGCCATTACACAAACTTATTTTTGTATAGCCCAAATTTTAATCATCAGAAGCATCTTGAACAGCATTCTAGGTCTCTGGCTGTAGAATGCTTCATCAATCCAGTCTGTATTTTTAGCTCTGTACAACACTCTTGTTCCCTGAAGTCACAGAGCAATGCTACGTGCACAGCTGATACCTCCTGTGTACCTCAGGCACTGGTAGGGTGCAGGATTGCCCCACATTTGTGTTTGTACCAAAACAGCACAGATAATTCAGGGCCTAAAAAAAAAAAGCTTAGGCTGTTCTCTACCCTCTTTACCCCTTCTCTCCAGCCCCCAGCAGCAAGCATTGCACATCCAGAAGAGAAGGTCCAAAAGGCCAGACTCAGCCAGAGGCAAAAAAAGGCAGGTACTGCTGACAGAATTGCTGTTGGACCTAAAGTGGTGTAGTAATCTTCACAGTTCAGTAGATTTTAACAGGGTGTATGTCCTTTTGAAAGGTCAGGTATGTTTTAAACATTTCATTACACCTTGTCTTGGGGTGTTGATGTGGTTTTGCTTTGACCTGCCTACAGTATTATGTGTATTGTCTGATGGCATACTAATGTCCAAGGTTTGAGAATGTCTTAAGTGAACAAGCAGTCACTGCTCTGACCTGTTATCAGCAAAACCTCAGTAACAAGCCAGTTGAAACTATTTAATGTATAAATTGCAATGATACTTTATAGGCAGGACAAAACTGAATACAAGAGCTTAGTCTATATTATAGGAGACCAAGGTCAAAATGCAAGACAAGTCACACAAAGTAGGTTATGGGCAGAGCAGCACTAGTAAGGCTAAATTAGGAGAGTGCTGCAAAAAGAATTGTTGAAAGGATAGACAGCATTGTGGTAGAATGATGGAAGCATAGGTGAGCTTCAGTGCCTATGAACCAGATGAACACATGCAAGATATCCACTCAGTTGGAATAGTCTCTAGCTGCAGGTTGAACAGAATGAGTAAGTTTTCTTCCTTTTCATACCTGTTGAAAGAAGAGGTGTGCAATAGTTCTCTATTCTGTACTGTGGTTTTATCCTTTGTCACAATATCACCATGAGGTGTAAGGTGATTTGATCGTCATCAGAAGAGTGGCAAATACTAGTCTCTGTCTTCCTGTGTCAGAGAAAGGGATTGCACTCATAAAGCCATTGTCCCACACTCCAGTGCCTGTTTACCTGTTTCCCTTACATAATAGTAACACATTGAAACCTTTAGCAGTAGGGGAAGACATCAAGAACACCTAAACGTGAAGGAGGGTACAGGAGCAGTTACTTTCACTGCTGGCAGGCACAAAGCTCTAGCAGCTTTAAGACAAGCTTTAAAGTACTAACACAAAACTTTGGCTTTCATGCTTTGTCTTTTCAACAGTTGTAATAAATTCTGCAATTCCAGGTCTAACTGGTTTACCTTTACTCCTAGTGCATTGCAGCCTCTGAACTTGAATATATTTTTACACTTACCTGCCAGATAGGCAGATGAGGTGAATGTAGTAATTTCTCTACACATTTGGACAAATTCAGGGCTTAAAGTTACTGCTTTATCTATTTCCTGTAGAAGTCACAAGAATGTCAGTATGCATTCCACACCAGTCTTCATTCTAAAGGTCTGTGCTGAATAGTGTTACAGCAATATGACAAACAAATCCTTTATTAATGCCATAAATGTCAGAGATAATCAGGAGAGCTTCCATAAATATCAGTATGCTTGCCTAACATTTTCTGCAATTCACTTCTTTGGGTTTTCTTGGTACTTTCAGAGAAATGCAAGTTTCAGGATAGATCCTTCAGGAGCTTCCTGGCTTTTGCACAGAGATCACCACTCTTCCAAACTGCCTGGCTTCTGTAATGGGAATATATTAGGTTTCTTGCTCAGTATTCTGAATGAATTGTTAAAGCTGTCCATTTTTCTTGTGGAAGGAGAGCTAGAAAAAGTTTTTTTCCCATGGGTATTTCTACTGACAGTGTTTCCAAATGCTGCCTGCAGAAGCCTTTAAGAAGATACATAACCACTTGCTGCTCTTAGATGTTTACATGTCATCTCAAGTCGCTGGCATTGGTGTTAACATTTAAAAATAAAGTACATGGTCTTCCTCACTCCATATGTGTTGCACTTGGAAGTAAATCCTAGTATATTCAGAGGAAGGTGACTTGTCTGGCACATTAGCAGCTTAACATAATAAATATGAAGGATTTGTGATATTAGAGCTCAGTAATGAAAACAAGTGAGTGCTCAGTTAGGAAGCCATCTGTGCTCAAAATGTATATGCTTTTCACTTTTGTGTTGCTAAACAATGAAATTCCCCAGGCAAGATTTTGTAAGTAGCAGGCTACAAGGCATTGTAACCCCTCCAATTTGTACCTGCTTTTGTTTAAGAAAGTTACAAAATATATATTCCAGTTAACTTGTATTCATTCTGTTCAGCCTGGCTGACACTTGTATTACAGACAGAAAATAGAGCAGAAGTTCCCTCTGGTTTCTCTGAAACAGATCACTTGTTGCTGTTACCTAACTGCAACAACTGGTTGTTGAGCTTGCAAAGGTTTGTGTGTATGTGTTTGCTGGTAGAGCCTTTCTGTTGGGGGAAACACTGAGATTGTATTGGGGAAAATGTTGCATTAGGTATGGGCTGAGTTAAAGTTGGTACAACTGTTATACCTGTTATAGTTTAATAATGTTGTGACTATTTTTGAGGCTTTTCTGCTGTGATGCATGTGCAGCTGAAGTGTTTTAAGAGGTCATTTCTGTAAGTGGAATAAAGCTAAGAAAATTACTTTTCTATGTAGTCAGAGAGCTGTTTAAATGACCTGTTTTTCAGTAGCTGACTGTGATACAAAGGGCACTTTGCACATATGTAGCACTTCAGAAGTTATTCAAAGCAAAAAGGAAATGCATTGTTTGAGAATTACTTACAACAAGGCTATTATATATGAGCAACACATAAATTATCTTAACATTCAATGTTACAAAAGGTATGTGCTAGAGTTTTCTCTCATACTATCTAAATAGATTCTGTTTTGGAGGATATAATGCAGTAGCTGTTTCCATAGATTTCTAAACTATAAGCTTAAATTCCATGAACTTTAATTTAGCATAACTGTTTTCTTTCCACCATTTTAATTAGCTCTCTGATAGCACTGAACTCTGTTTTATACACATATCAATTCAGTAAACACAGAAATCTGTGGTGTTATATTTTTGTATAAAATATGAAAGGAAGCTTTGACTTAATGCATCTGTAATTCAGCTTTCTGTATTGCAGAACATATGTTGTTCTTGTTTTAATTAAACAAAACATAATATGCAAAAGAACATGGTGTATGGGATGGTACCAAAAGAATAACACACTATTAAAGTACTACCAAAAATATTCACTGTAACTCTGGACCATGAGGCCATGGGGAGAGACAGTTGCTGAAAAGAAAATAGAGTAAGTTTAAAGCAGAGAAGTGTTGGAATCTTCCCATATGCCTCCAGTTCGAGCTGGAATTCAATTAGATACTTGTTATGCATAGTACTGTGGCTAGGGTTTTAATCAATTTTTAAATGAATTAATTCATTAATGTGTCTAATGGAATAATTTGCTTTATGCAAATCCTGAACTGTCAAAGTAGCAACTCGCAGAAAGCTCAGTGTCACTGCAGAATTTCTGTGGAATTTTGCCAGCCCATTCTCTTGCTTTTTTGGCTGCTGGCATGGCCCTTTAGGAGCTGAATATCTGAAGCCTCGTTCCGAGTCACCTTTCTTGCTGTGTGTCCTATTGAGGTTGAGTCTCCACTGCCTGAAATCCTGGGGCTTCTGTTTTTCAGCTCCTGGCCTTTATGATAAGCCTGGACTTTCCCAGATACCCAGATTTTGGTGAAGCCTGCCAAGCAGAGCATTCTTGAGCCAAGGGCTTGCAGGTTTTGTGGCCTCAAGGATTTATCTGTTTCATTGCATTATTTGGACGTATCTTCTTCAAATAGTATAGTTCTACATTAATCCTTTGGCCACATACAACTCCTGACCAGCTTTGCATTCTTGCTTAGACTGACCTAATATATTTATGCGTAGAGAGGGCAAAAGGCAGCGGCGTTTCTCTTTCTGTTGGTACCACGAAGGATTTGATAGCTGTGCCTGAGCTACAAGAACATTTGATCAGTTCAGCTTTGTTGGAACTGTCCTGACCTCATTCCAGAGAAACTGACTAAAAGCTGGTGTTTTGGTTTGGTTTTTTTTTCATTTCTGAAGATGCTGTGGGTTTGCTGAGGACTGTTTGTCATCATTGTCCTATGGCTACATCCCATCACAGGTAGAGTAGTGTGGATGTTACACATTGAATAGGACATGGAAACAAAATCAAGGATAGGTGTGTTGGTTGGTTATATCTGGTTTTCCTTTGCCTAGTTGAGGTTTCTTGGACAGGGATTGTGTAATTAAACATGTTGATGAATGGCACCAAGTAGTGCAGAGGTCTAATGTGGAGTGCTCATTGGTTTAGGTCAATTTTTCCATTGATAGGTTGTGTCCCTTTGTTTTTAGGGCATTGAAATACTCAGCTGTGAGCAGTGTGGTAGCTGTGCCCTGGTACACTGAGCATCTGTAGGTTGTGTGCTTGGGCTGACCATGGTGTTCCACTGGATTATTTCTGTTCTCAGTTTCCCCATCCTCTGTGTTTTGTTCATTTATGATGTCTGTGGCTCAGTCTGTGATTCAGCCACTAATGCCGACAGCATCTTACATACTGTCTTTGCTTTTACTGCCAAAAGGGCTTCTACACTACAGCAAAGATTAGAAGAGCATTCCATAGGTAGGAAAGGTTTTTTTAAAAAGGAGACCTTGTATTTTTCCCCAAAAAAAATCTTCACCATAGGTAGGTTTTTTTAAAAAGGAGACCTTGTATATTTCCCCCAAAAATCTTATTCCTGTTCTTGTTCCATTACAATATCTTTGAAAGGTAAAGCTCTCATTTTAAAGGATTAAGATGTGTGATAAAACTCCAGAGAGAGCAGAATTTCTTTTCTATATGCACAATTAGTTTGTCTATTAAACTCTTTACATTTTTAGAATGAAGTTGGTTTTTTTAAAAAGGAGACCTTGTATATTTCCCCCAAAAATCTTATTCCTGTTCTTGTTCCATTACAATATCTTTGAAAGGTAAAGCTCTCATTTTAAAGGATTAAGATGTGTGATAAAACTCCAGAGAGAGCAGAATTTCTTTTCTATATGCACAATTAGTTTGTCTATTAAACTCTTTACATTTTTAGAATGAAGTTGATAAGACATGTCTAGGTTCTTTTAACATTCTCCCTGCAAATGCAAAATATCAGGCCTGGAATATGTTTCAAGGCTGTAATTTTAGTCATGTTATTAGTCCTTGACAAATTTGTATGTGGCCTGCAGTTGTTGGAAGCTTTCTGTTGTATCCTATACAATGATTGGTACCAGATTATGTACAAAGATTTTTCAATAAAATGCATAAATTATATCAGCAGAGCATTTTATCATCACTCCACTGTTTGGTAAGAGTATGTCCATATGGAAGGAGAGGTGTAATAGATAATAAATGGCAATATCTTCCAGTAATTCTGAATATGAAATGGGAGAAATATCAATAGGTAATACTATGGTATTAGGCACACTACAAATAGGTACAATAGTAGAAAAAAAAATTCCTTTATTTATCCAAAATAGCACTTATTTTCTGACATGAATTGAATTGAAAACTGCTCTGATTATCTCCAAGTCCTCCATTACCCAAACCTACTCAATATCCTATATTCCACCTGGATAATTGAAGTTTGACTTTACACCATTTTTAATGAGATATAAGATTTAACTCATTTGCCTATAGTTCACATTTTAGGCTGGATCAAAGGAAGCCAAATTGATGAATGTATAATTAAAATCACATTTATTTCTCTTCCTGATTTCCCTGCACATACCATGCTGTTGATGAAAGCACTTTTCTAAGTGGTTGTATCTATCAACACAATTTGCTGTAGATAATCTTTCCTTTGAAGGAAAACCTTTAAACTTGTGTGTCTCTTAATCCGAAACAGTGTAATGGTAAACTAGCCATGTTTTTTATTCAGTTCCTTTTTGTTTATTGTAATCCTATTTCTTTATAATCATCTCCACAGGATGGTTTGATAATGAAAGCACTTTTCTAAGTGGTTGTATCTATCAACACAATTTGCTGTAGATAATCTTTCCTTTGAAGGAAAACCTTTAAACTTGTGTGTCTCTTAATCCGAAACAGTGTAATGGTAAACTAGCCATGTTTTTTATTCAGTTCCTTTTTGTTTATTGTAATCCTATTTCTTTATAATCATCTCCACAGGATGGTTTGATAGTGGAGAACTCTACACGGTGTGTCCTGGGCCAGAAGTCACTGCAGCAATGACAGTAGTGAGTGCTGCAGTGAGACAGAGCTGTCCCCATCTCCCTCTGGGTGTGCAGGTCCTGTGTGCTGCAAATCAACAGGCAATAGCAGTTGCTCTTGCTGCAGGTAATAGAAATGACTCATCAGTTATTACTGTTGTTTGCTATGGCATTTACTCGCCGCAAATTGCGCATTGTGCTAACATAGATACCATGAAAAATGAGACATGAGAAGCTCACTGTACCCTGAAAAAGCAGAAATTAGATTTTTGAGAAAGATGCCTGCTTGATTATAATAGATGATACTTGTGCTCTGCTTCACTTGGAGGTAGCTAAAAATCCCAAGGCCACTGCCACAGCTTTCTAGGTGTCTAAATATAATGATTACTTTAAACCTACTCGTGTCTGAAAGCCACCTTTGGTGTAACTCTATGTACTTCAGTTAAATTATATTTGAGGATCAATTTAACCCACTGTGCTTAAGCATCCTGTTTCAGCATCTGATTCTGTGCTGTTGCTGCTATTGTTATCCATTAAAACTAAGTTTTCATTGTTTTTTCTTTTAATGAATTGAGTGTACAAATAGCCAAACTCCTTAAAAATAAATTGCACTTGGGGTAATTAAATACAAATTTATCCATCTTTATTGCAGGAGTCTTAGACTTGCTAACCTTTCTGCTCCTAATGCTTACGAAAGCAATTTTAGTTTTGCATGTGTAACATTGCATGATGTAAAGATGGAAAGTGGCTTAATATGGATAGCTTGTACTTCCTAAATTCATAAGTTGAGGATCAATGCATGTCTTGGCCCAATGTGCACAGTTTGCCTATGTGATTACAGTAAGGTTGGTTATACCTTGGTGGTGTTCAATCCAGGCTGGATGAGCCTTGAGCATCCTGATCTAGTGAGGAGGTGTCCCTGCCCAGGGCAGGGGTTGGGGCTGGATGATCTGTAAGGTCCATTCCATCCCCTAAATTCTATGATTCTATGATTTTCGAATGTACAAGTTTTATAGAACCAGGTGTTAACTAAAAACAATACTTGAGGTGGAATAGTGTAGGCTAAGCTATCTGCGGTGGCAATTTTAATCATGCTGAATATGTCTTGAAGTTTTGAATTCTTGTTAATAGATGTAATTTGAACTCAGATTTGTTTTGTGTGCTTTGAAATCAGAAGTTGCCATTTGCAGAGTCTCTAGGTGCTCGATAAACTGACAAAACCTGATTTTTATTGCTGCAGCAGAACCCACATGCAAACCAAATGTAAAAATGCTAACAGAATCCAGGGCTAGTTTTCAGAGATTGCAGGTATGTAGGATGCTTGAGGTACATAGGTGTCTGCAAAAATATTCCACACCTTACCTTTAAAAGCAGTGGTCAAACTCCTAGTGAGTTACACATCCTTTTAGGAGCAAAAATCATCACTAAATAAGGGATATGGTGTGGGAGCAATGAATTTCTCTTCTTGGCAATTATTAATGTGGGAGAGAATTCCTGAAGGGCTTGGGGTTTTATGCTCAGTTCTCCTCTTGTTCTGCACTATTTGCTCTGTAACTGGAGAACACCAGCCAGGAAGGGCTTGTGTTTAATGCATTTCATTGCACTTCTCTAAAAATGATTGTCTCAAGTTCACTGAACAGGAAAGCAAAAAGAAAATCACTTTAACCAAAATCACAGTAAACTGAGTGCTACTTTGTAGGTAGCAAATATTTGAATAGTTTTTCTTTAGCAACTTAGTAGTGACTTTAATGTCAATACAATTTTAATAGGTGGCTATTAATAGATCAAGTCTTTTATGCTCTCAGTACACAAATCAGTCACTGAAGGTGTTCTAGCTAAAAAAGCATATGTAGCATCTTTTGCCTACTCTGCAGCCATAGGAATTTCCATAGGGAAAATGAAATCTTTGGTGGAAATAACCATTCTGAAGGGAACCACACAGGGAATTTATAAAGAGTCTCTAGGAGAAGGTAATGATTTTGCTATGTAAAGGGCAGGGGGAATGTCAGCAGGTTTGCAGTGTGACTGGGAGCTCAACTGCAGCAACATGTGGTTATGCTAATAAATGTGTTGTGCATAGCCAAATAGTAACAGATGAAATTGCTGAATTTTCCTAGCATATTGGCAAGGTATTGGATAGATCTGAAAATAACAGTAATAAATCAGGGATGAGGCGTCTGAGGAGGTTGAGTTTGGTTTTTTTTTTATTTAGATTCAATTTGGTTCTTTAGGAAACATTTATTTATTCAATTAGGCACTTAAAGGATGCAATGCCAGGAAAATTGTGCTGGGTACTTCAGCAAAGGTGTGGGGCAATGGTAGGAAATAGTGGGAGATCTTGAGGAAAAAAGAGAACTGCTGTGTCTCCACTCTTCTGACAGAAACAAGCAGTTCCTCACGTTATTGAAAAACAACTGTGGAGCCAAACCACTTGCTGCCAACATCCTCCCAGCTCCAAAAGGTTATTGCAGACTGTTACACCTGTGCTGGATGCTCTTGGTTCAGCACAGCGACAGGTCCAGCGTGGGGGGCTGAGGGAGGCAGTTGCCCAAGGTCATCCATCCAGCAGGCCCTGGCATCCTCCTGCTGTGAGCTGTGCTGCAGGGCCTGTCTTCCCTCTGTCTGCCCCACAAAACAGTGTCACTGCCTCTGCTCTTGTGCTTTGCACTTCAGGAGGTTATGCTGGAAGCTGCTGGATCTGCCTCTGTTCCAATGAGCAGATAGGACAATGTTGGCCCACTCCAATTAGTGTGTTGTATGCACAAAAAGTGAGGGAGATTTGTGTCACACCTTTCTTTAACACTGAAGTCATCAGCTGCTCCGTTTTTATACTCTTCTAATAGAAGCATTTCAATTTAAAATGAAATCAAACATAACATCCCTAAGGAAGTGTAGACTGCAAAACATGGAGGCAATACAGAATAGCACAGTTTTGTGTTTGTATTTTTGGCTGGAAACCATCTAAATCTCAAATACTTGTTCTCAAAAAAACCCAACCCATTTTACTAGTTCATGTTAGTGACATCCTCCAAAGACTCTGTATCTTCATTCTTTCCTAGAATGCTCTTTGTGGAGAAGCAAGTCAGAGTTGTTTTGCTAGGGTTACTGTTCAATTGGCTCATTATTAAGAGGTGCACCATGTGTTTTTTAGAGGTGTGGAATTTTCTGTTTGTAGTTTCTGATTTAATTAACTACAGCTGCTTGAGGCTGAAACAGAATGATGTAAATAAGCAAGTTCTATGAGCATTTGTAGAGGAGATGAAAATACAAATGCTCCCTCATTTATTTTTGTTTAGTAAGTATTACTGGTTATTCTTTCTCTGTGCTCAGGACTGCCCAGGTTATATTCACTCAATCTGGGTCAGGTTTAGGCTTGGTGTTAGGTTTTTTTCTTAATTATTTATCAGTGTCTCTTGTTTCCTGAAGTTAACCATTGTGTTAATTTCACATACTCATGTTTGTTGTTGATTTACTTCCAGTAAGACTACAAAATGTTGTGTTCCCATGTAAGTCAGGAATGGGACTATCTATTAACTATCTAGGGGCTATTACTTTCCAACTTGCCAAACGTGAAAGTAAGCAGTGCTATCATTCTCACACTTTTATGAGCATAAAAATGAATTCATTAGCAGAATCTGATTATGGCTTCATAAAACAGAAGGGTAATGACATGGTGCCTGCACCTATCACACTTGGTTAAAACCTGTATTTTCATAACCTTCAAAAACCCAGATAGGGAGAGCAGCCTTGGTAAGCCAAGTACCAGCCCAATATTTAGCAGAAAGTCTTACATTACTAAACTGAGGAAACACAAACTAAGCATCAGCAAACAGCATGTAAGCAGTGACTTCAATAAATGACATTACTCAATGAATAGCCTCTGTCCCAAGTTAAACATTATGATTGCTGTGAAAGTGTAACACGTCTCTAGACTCATTGATAGTCTTATGATTAGAGGAATAATTTTTCTTATTTAAATCTGAACTGTACTATAGGCTTGAGTGATTTAAACAGAACCTACAGCTTTTGTTCCTAGGTGCAGAAATCTCAGTCTAGCTATTTGCAGTGTGTTTATTACCCTACCAACACCTGTAACTGCACCTGTGGCACACTCTTCCCTTTGGATCTTGGGAATACTCCATGCTTTTCACCCCCTAATCTCAAGGCACAGGACAGCTTGCATTTGATTTGGCATCCATCTGTGATGTTTCTTGTTAGCTGCAGTCCGTGTTGCTAAGCAATGTAGGCTCTTCTCTATCAGGCATAAGCTTCTGTTTCTGCAACTTCAGGGCTTTTGGAATGAAACTGAAATTTTAAAATAAAGAGGCACCTTGTCATTTGGTAAATAAATGTTTAAGATCATTTCTGTTTGTTTTTGAAGTGTGCTGAGGTGATGCCTCTGCCTGAGCAGGTCCCTGGTGGGTGGGATTGTATCCTTGCTGGCTGTTTCCACAGGCATTGCTTGCCTTGGTGTGATGTCAGCTCTAATTAAACTGCAGCTGACTCCAGAGCTGGAGCAGCAGCAGAGCTGCAGAAGGGCTTGGAAGAGACCTCTAAAGCAAAGGGATAGAACAGTGAAAGCTGCACAAGATGAGTGCAGAGCTATTACACAAGATATTAAGTGACAGATGAAATAAACTGCAAGGCTATGAAAGTCTGAAGAGGGGAATAGAATCAGGGAGTCAGGATTCAATCTTGTGCCTCACAACCACAGGATTATTGCACTGTGGCCCAAGGCTTCAGTATTACAACTCAGAGGCTCTGAGAGGGATCCCTGATAGTCCATGGATGGGCTTTCCTCTCCAGTATCCATCCCACAGAACTTCCTGGTGCAAAGAAATAATGCCTATACTACTTTCCTCTCCAGTATCCATCCCACAGAACTTTTCTGGTGCAAAGAAATAATGCCTGTGGTTGAAATCGTGTTGCTAAGACAGGGTAGGGTTGATGCTTGGAGTAAGTTTGAAAGAGAGCGGAAAATGTTTGACTCTTCACAAACTTTACCTTGTTTTGTACCTTTGGCACAGCTCTAGAAGTAGCTCTTTGATGTGGTGCTGGGCTCTCCAGTATCCATCCCACAGAACTTTTCTGGTGCAAAGAAATAATGCCTGTGGTTGAAATCGTGTTGCTAAGACAGGGTAGGGTTGATGCTTGGAGTAAGTTTGAAAGAGAGCGGAAAATGTTTGACTCTTCACAAACTTTACCTTGTTTTGTACCTTTGGCACAGCTCTAGAAGTAGCTCTTTGATGTGGTGCTGGGTAGAAAACACACACTACATTCAGATGGAGTCAGATGGGCTGTGTATAATGTGTTGTAGGCTGTTTTCATGCCTAATTTCCTAAAGAAAGATGACAATGCTATTCCTCCATGTCCATGGTCCTTGGTGCTTTTTGACCTGATGGACAACTTCAGGTATATTTAACAGGGGAATATAGATGTTGGGAAAGCAGTAATACAATGAGAGTCTGTGGAAAGAGAGGAGAGATGCAAGTTAATGATGCCTTTTGGAGAGAAAACACATTGTTAGGACAAAGGAGCTGTGTTTTGACCTACCTGCTCCTCTCTTGACACATGTCCACTGGCATGTCATGGCAAGAGGCAGAGCAAGGTGTGCAGCTACCTCTTCTGAGCCACACAGCAACAAACTGGGGAGCTGAGAAAAAGGAAACCATGGGGCCAGGGAGAAAACTGGTGGGTTTTGTGGGAGAGATGGAAGCTGAAAATAGTAAGACAGAAAGAAGTAGAAGAGAATATGGGTGAAAATAAAGCATGTAAAACTTAAATATGTGGGAATGATTGGTTGGTTAGGCCTAGAGCATATGGACCAATTTGTGTTGAGATTAAATAAGAAGGGCAGTAAAGTGGATTTTTGTTTGTTTTGAGCATTTCTGTTTTTCTAGTCTTTAGTTTTAGCTAAGATATTGATTTTATTTTTTTCAGATCTTGATTTTATCCGGGCTGAGGGGTTTGTGTTTTCTCATGTGGCTGATGAAGGGATTATAAATGCCTGTGCAGGTGACCTGCTACGGTACAGAAAACAAGTTGGAGCAGAGAACATTCAGATTTTCGCCGATATTAAGAAGAAACATAGGTAAATACAAGCAATATTTTATGCCAATATGAATATAGTAATGATCTTATATTTTTCTCCATTTTCTGATTTTTTAATGCTAGTGTCAAAACAGTTAATCTTATACTTTGTACAGTTAATCTTATAATGTTGCACTTTAATAATAAAGTATATTATAATGAATCTAAGGAGAAGTTTATTATTTAACAAGGTCTTGCAGTGCTGTTGGGGATACGTTTAAAGGCAAATTTGCACCTGTAAGTTGCAGGTTGCTGCATCTATGAAGTTTGCAGTTGTTTAACCTTCAGGGTTTACAAATGCAGACTGTAAAAGTCTTGCATCTGGTATGAAGTGAGATTTTTGTATGCCTGTGTGTATGCCCATTAGGTTTAAAGAAATTTTGTTTCTGGAGGTTAGGCACCCAAGGTTATTTTTAGTTATGTAAGCAGTTGCCACATAAAAGCATCCAAATCATAATATTTTGGCATTTTCAAAAGCTATTCTCTTTCTTCTCCTTCCTGCCAATAATACTGGTTTCTTCTATTTAAATCAGTCCTGTCTATGTATGGGTTATGTTCTATGATTATCAAACAGATAATCTGTTTTGTGTAGAGTAGTATACCTGTGTCTGAAAGCTGCTGGAGTCCTGTTCTTTAAAGGCAGAGAAAATGTTTCTTTAGTCTTTGCTGTGTTGTGGATACTCTCCATGTGCTAATTCTGGGGTGCCTGCTACTCTAAAGCCCTGTTTCAGCATTATTGTATGTATTAGGTGCTTAGTCCTGCCTTTCTCTAGCTACATAAAGGGAATGAGTTCCTTTTCTATCCATCAACACCAGTGGAACTCACTGCACACATGTTGCCTCTGACTATGGCCAGAACATTCCTCCTCCCAAGAGTGTTGTCCATACTGACTGATCCAGCAAAGAGGTTAGTGCTATCAGCACTCAGCAGTGCAACACACTGACCATAGCCATTGTTTTCTGTTGAAATGGAGCTACAGAAACAACTGAGCTGGATGTTGAGGCAGCAATGGCTGGAATTCTCTCCAAGTTTGGGGCTGTTTAAATTAATAGCTGCTATTGCTAAAGGTTTCAGACAAAGTGTGTCACCCACACATCGGAGGCTGCTGTTGAACAGCTGGGTTGCAGGTAATTGGTGCTTGTAATTGCTGTGTAAGATGATTCCTGTGATTATATCATAGGTAATCACTATACTTTCTGTTAGTTGGACTGGTGAAACGCAGTGGAGGGTGTTGATTCTATTGTAGGCACAGGATCTGATTTATGAATGACTGCACAGCCACAGCTCCCACTTGAAGTCAGAGAGCTCTGTGTGCTCAACATTTCTGAAATACAGGTGCTTGACATGTAAGCATCTGTCTCAATTGACTCTTGGTGGTTCACACTTAGCAATCACTCTTTAGAGACACGAGGCATGGAGCAACAGATGGATCAGTTCTGGTTCCCTGATGGAAAAAGGTTGGGTTTTACCTCTTGTTTGGATTGCAGTGTTATTTCCCAGCTCAAAACAGGTTGCTCATCCTTCCTCACCAAGCCTTGGGTTGTTCTGGCTGTGGGGAAGGTGAAGAAGCAGAGTCTAAACGTTGAAGGAGAGGGATAAAAATGTGTGTGCTGACAGTAACCATGGTGCCTGTTGCTCTGTTGGCAGTGCTCATGCCCTGACAGCTGATGTCAGCGTGGCCCAGACGGCAGAGGCTGCACAGCTTTTCCTGGCTGATGCCGTGGTGCTCTCCGGCACCGCGACCGGACTGCCCACCGACCCCCGGGAGCTGCAGGGTGAGAGCTCTCACACTGGGACAACTCTGCTGCTTTGGGCTGGAGTGGGCTTAACTTTCTTCACAGTGGCTAGGATGGGGCTGTGTTGAGGATTTACACAGAGCACAGGGTTGATAATGCTGAGATGTGTTTGTTATTGCTGAGCAGAGCTCACACAGAGCCAAGGTCTTTACCACTTCCCATCCTGCCACACTGGCAAGGGAGTTGAGTGTGCGTGGGACATTGGGAGGAGACACAGCTGGGACAGGTGACCCAAACTGACCAAAGGGATATTCCA